GAGCCATCTGGAGACACCAGTTCAGTGACTAACACCTTTAAAAAACTAATCATCTAAAAACTGGTTTTATAGAAGGCTGTCAGAACCCTATATTGCACTGCAAACTAAAAAACTAAGCACAATTACTAGTTGAAGCCAGTCAGCACAAAGCCACCGGGGATTGGGCTTAGACTGTGGGTTGTGGAAATGTTCTTTTCATCTTGGGGTCTCAGACATATTTTGTGTGACCTCTGTACGCATCAGATCGAAGAGCATTTCGGCAAAACCCTCCGTTTGGAAAGCGGATGTGACTAGAGGGATCCTTCTTGACTTCATGGGTGTCTACGGTACGGACAAGTAAACCAGTAAGCAGAGGACCTGCAGAGGGATGAAAAAGTCTGATATATTTTCTGCCTCAAGACAGAGGGACTGTTCATTTTGGGGACTTACTGTTCTCTTCTATGCTCCTGAAACTGGACACCAGTCCAGTGAGGGAAGATTATAGCATACTGGGACAGCACAAAGGGAGGGATAATTAATCAGGTTGTTACTTGGCACGTGGCCAGAGGTTCCTTGGCAACATGGATCCTTCAGCTGTCAGCAATCAGAACACAGGCAGCTTTCAATTATCAACGCTATTGGAGGGGGCAGTGATGTGGGTAATCCAAAACAGCAGATAATCCCTCCAAATCATTTAATTTATCTTTTGAATGATTTTCACATGTATACACATGATTTCTTCCTTTCTCATTATGTTCCACTTAGGCTAAAAATAAAACTAATGTGCATTCTCTGAATATATACTATACCAATTCAGCAAGGAGGTTGGCTGAAGGAGACTGGTCCTCAGATGAAACATTTTCCGTGGACCACTCACTCAATAATAAACAAGGGTTTAATACATTTGAGTCCATAGACTCATTGTGCTGGAAGGACACAAGAGACCATTTCTTTACACCCTTTGTTTTGTGGAAGGAGAAACTGAGTCAATTGCCTGAGGCCTTGTGGATAGCTAAATGTCCGTCCAGTTGTCATTATTTCATTCCCAGGAATTCTCCTTCAATTGGCTGCTCCTTTAGCCAGCTTTTTCTTGATGAGGGAGAAGCCACAGGCATTAGGTGCAGTATTAGCTTAAGTGCTTCCCATAGGCTGTGTGATGCGAAGCTAACATGCCAGGCCTTAAACCAGTGTCCCCAGCCTTGAAAACTCATTAGAACCACCTAAAGCATTAAAAACATTCCATGCCAATTACATTAAAATCTGGATTGTAAGCAGGGGACATAGTGGGTGAGACTGGGGTAACAAAGTTTAATAAGCTCTCCAGGTGGATTCAAAGTGCAACCAAGGTTGCGAACCATGTCTCAGTATCCTGACTCCTACAAATACATAGCCACAGACAAACCTCCGTTCTGCTGTGCCTCAGTTTCATCTATAAAGCTGAATGATGAGGATGACAGTTTAATACTTGCCTTGCCAAGCTATGGGAAAAATTAATTTTTAATACATAAAAAAGTCCTAATATAGTTACTAACACATAAAAAGCATTATATAGATGGTAGCTGTTATTACGACCACTCCTACTACTGTTACTACTATACGAGGGCCCTATGCAAAGAACATTCAAAGGGTTTGTGTAGACACATTGGGCCAAATGAGGACCCCTTTGGAAAAGTTGGTTTGGGACCTTGGCATTTACGTTGACTTCTCTACTCAATGAAATATCCCATGAGTTCAGTGTAAGCATAGTAGCTGGGAAGAAATTAACCAGCTCCTGAAAAGGGATTTACTGCTCAGTGTGGCAGGGGAAAAGGGGGAACATATTAGTGGGTTGAATTTGATCTCTGTGGTTTTTTGAAATTACCACAGCACTGGCCATTGTTCACTCACTCAACACCTATTTTATTGTTTATTATCATGCAGCAGTTACTGACAGAGTCTGATAAAGCGTTTCTGGCCCCACTGTTACATTACAGTCACATCTCCATTTCAGCAGCTGGCATGGGATGGGATGAGTGTCGGAATGGGCATTTGCTTCCTAGGCCCTGAGTGGCAGGGAACATTTGATATCCGTTTTCTTGTTTTGACATATTTTGTACGGTAATTTCACTGTGATGCCAGGAATTTTTGGATTTCTCATTGTTACAAACTGAGGACTGGGGACTTAGCTCAGTGGCACAGCGCTTGCCTGGCAAGTGCAAGGTCATGAGTTCGATTCCCGGTAACAGAAAAAAAAAATGTTTGTGTTCCCTCAAAATTCTACAAAATCCTCAATGGTTTAGGATTTTAGCACATGAAATGGTTTTAGAAGACAGGCTCTTGAATGGTAATTAGGTCATGAAGGTGGAGCTCTAGGTGATGGGATTAGTGTACTCATAATAGGGATCCAAGAGCACACTCTCTGCTCTCCACCTTTTAAGTGTACAGTGAAAAACTGCATGTTGGCAAACTAGAAAAGGGTCCTTACCACAACCCAAGCATGCTGGCACCCTGATCTTGGACTGCCAGCCTCTACCACTGTGAGAGAGAATTTTCTGCTGTTTATAAGCCACCCAATGACTTCCAAATTTAAATATCAAATTTCCTCAACACTGACTACAGTCTTTGGCATCATTCCTTTTTCTTAAGTAGTTACTGGGTAGTCACACATGGTCAGTCCCTAAGGTGAGCTTCGAAAGTATTGGCAAACAGCCTTCGATTCTTGGCCTAAGGAGGCCATAACTGTATGATATTGATACCTAAATAATTTGCTGAGATTACCTAAAAAATAGTTATTACATACCCACTTGAGTTAAGGAGCTGTGAGGGCCCCAAAAGTAATGAAAGGCTGCTTGACCAGATCTCACAATCTTGAGTAGAAGATAGTTAATTAGATAGGGTGCCAGAGAAAAAGATTATAAAGCAAGATAACTGAGGTTTGACTTCTCCCTTTGCCACTTATAGGTTGTGTAGCCTTTGGCAAGTTTCTTATATTCTCTGAGACTTACTTTCCTCATCTGTAAAGTAGAAATAGGAAAACTCTTCTTGGCTGTACACTGGGAAGATTAAATGAGTGAATAGCTAAAAAGGACTTAGCATGTTAGCTGGCAAAGTAGCCATTCAATAAAGGTTATTTCAGGGGCTGGGGATTTAGCTCAGCAGCACAGCGCCTGCCTGGCAAGTGCAAGGTCATGAGTTCGATTCCCGGTACTGGAAAAAAAAATGAACAACAACAACAAAAAAGGTTCTTTCTTGTCCTCCACCCTTCCCAAGTCATATAGCAGCACACAGGCACATGTAGACACGAACCTTTAAAAATATCTAAAAATGAAAAATATTTTTAACTCAACAACTACATTTTTTCATGTAACATTTCTTTGTTAATTTAATGCACAGATTGAATGGCAACCATCAGCTCCAAAGATCAACTGATTCAAGACAGTTCTATAGTCCTGAGGGTTTGGGGAGGAAAGATGAGTCACAAACCCTCATCCTCAGAGTCCACTGGGCAAGTCTGATGAAAGAAAATATGATTTTAATATATAAAAGCATTAGGTTTTAGAAATATTTATAATTTTAAAAAATAAAAGACAATGTTAAGATGAAGATACTGATTTTTTAAATGTTCTTTCAAAATAACAAGTATTTTGCAAACTGATTCAGTGAAGTTGTTTTTTCTCCAAAGCACTGCCCATGCTGGTATCACACCACACCTGTTTAACCACACCGATAAGCAACCCTGGAAACTCATTGGTGGCTCAGAGAACTTTGGACTTTGTGAAAATGAGCAAACCTTAACATCTACTCATTGCCAGTGTTGGTGGTGATTGTGCTTAGAAACCATTTTCCAAATTTGCTTTGCATCTAAGGATTATCTACAACTGGTAAAAATATTAAACCACTACAGCTTGTTAGTTGACAGATAATGAAGTACTGTGTATCACTTTGAAAAACAGATGTATCACCGATCAGCTTTACTAACTTTTTCAAAAATAAAGGTGTCCTTTTGAGAGACATTTTAGCATAAACACATAATAAAATTGCAATATCCATACACAGAAGTAAACTTTTGCACATTAAAGTGAGGAGTAATCTTTATAATCCTGTGATTAAAAGTTATTGTACTGGAAAAATGTTTTTAAATTTTTGTCTTTAATAAATTATCAAGGACATATTAAAATACATACAGTATAGTGATTTTTAACCTATCACTCAGCTGCAAAAACACCAGCCCCAAAGTGAACCCTACCCCATTTACATCCTTTCCAAATGCACTTCTTCTCTCCCACTTTTTTTTTTAAAGATGGTCTCCCTAGTCACTAAATTGCCCAACATGAGCTAGAACTTGCAAGGCTTCTATATAAGCCTCCCAGAGTGCTGGGATTATAGGCATGTGCTGCTATGCCCAGCTCTTCCTATATTATTTTGAAGTAAAATCTAGACATCATATAATTTCACTTGTAAACATTTCTGTACTTATCTCTAAAGTGTAACTACTACTCTGTCAAAATAAGCACAATACTATTACCACACCTAAAAGAACTAACAGTTTATTCTTACATCATCAAATAACCAGGCAATGTTCAAAGTTTCAACTGTCTCACTCTATCATAATTTAATTTTTAAAAAAATCAAGACCCAACTAAGTACAAAATTTGCCACGGATTGATATGTCTTCTGTCTTAATGATAGACCCTCCTCCATCTCTTTATCCTCCTTTGCAATACATTTTTCAAGAAACTGTTGCTTGTCCTCAAAAGCCTCCACACCCCCACCCCTGCTCAACACACACACTCGAGTTTTGCTGATTGTATCCCGGAGTGCTGTTTAGCAACCTTTTCAGTACTTTGTTTTTGAAAATTGGTAGCTGGGAGCTTCATCCACAGGTAAGTTTTTTAAATGTTTTATTTGACTTCATTCGTGCAACGTTTACCTAATAACTACTATGTGCTTGCAACTGTAGGCTGCTATAGAAACAAAAACGCATCAGGAAATAGGTAAGAGTAAAGGAATTACATGCAGACAGAATTACAATCAATGTATTTGGTTAAGAAGAACTTAAGAAGCCCTGTGGAGGTGGCAACGAGCTTGCCAGAGCGGGCAGGGGAGGGAGGCTTCGCTGAGGAGGTGACTTGGGAACTAGGCTTTGAAAGATGGCAGAACAGGGACAGAAGGAGAGAGGAAGCGGCAGGCAATTTCCAATCCAAGGAATCAGCGTATGCAAAGGCAGAAAATCATATAAGAAAAGAAATACAGCCGAAAGATCTGCCTGCTTCAGGTAGGATTATTGTCCCTGACAGTGTCCCTGAACTGGATAATAATGTCTTAAACTCTCTCCTCCCTATTTCCACTCCAAGAAAACTGCCTGTCAATTCCTGCCTTCTTGGACTCTAAAGTTTATGGCTTTTAGAAGGAGTTAGTCATCTGGGCTAAGGGGAGGAGGAGCAGAGTGCGGAGGAGGTTCCCAAAACAGCAGAAAATGAGTGACAGCAGATGAGTGGCCAGATCTGAGCACTCCATAACAAAGCTTTGGGCAGGGCCCAGCTGGCCTATTTGGTGACTGGGGCCTTTGGCACATGCTGTGGAGGGAATCGTTTACACATACATTATTCACAGGCAGCCAGGGCGGTTCATTCTTATTTCCTCATTCCCTCGGGCACGTTTTCCTCATCCCTCCCACTCCCTCTTCCCCTCAGCGCCACCCCCAACAATGACCCTGATCAATAAATACAAGGGCAGAATCTGATTGTGCAAATATGAGAAGATGCCTGGGGGAGAAGAGAGGGGGGAGGCGGTGGAGTGAAAGAAACAGAAAGTTCCTGCGACAACAACCTCAACTGTCCCAGCTGCCCTCTCTGACATGACACTCCCATCCCTCTCCTCTAATTGGCAAACTCCTGCTCAATTTTCAAGGCCAGCTCAGGGGCCACGGCCCCTCACCTCTATGAAGCCCTTCAGCATGCCCAGGTTGGATGAGCTGCTTCCCTTACTGTGCTCTCACAGCATGTGCACAAATCTTTGTTCCTGCCCTAGCCATTCTGTATCATCAGCATCCACACGTGTCTTGTATCTCCTCTATTTGACTCCTTCTGAATAGGGATGTGGTCCATCCTTTATGTCTCTGTGCCTAGTCTAGTGCTGGTACCTAAAGATATGTGGTAGACACTTGCTTTGTGACTAATTGAAAGTATTAACTGAAAGGTTTGGCCTGAGTGCTTTGTCCCACTCCACCTTTTTTCCCTCCCAATTAGAAGAGGGCTTAGCAGATGATGATCTAGAAAAAATGTCCAGCTTTGCTGTTATGGAATAAGGCTTAAAGTTGAGGTCCAGCACTATGTATACCCTGACATCTAGGGAAAACCATGAGAGTCACAGATAGCCTAGTGAAAAGTTCTCTTCCTCCTCAGTTCCAGTGGATAAGGGCATCAAGTCCTCTAGCCAAACAACCCTCTTCATCAAATGGACCAGATGATGTACCTGCTGACCACCAGCCTGTGGAATTCTAATCTCCCATGGAAACTGCAGATGTTTTATACTTTAGAAACTACAGAGCCTGCTTCCACAGGCCCTGCTGCTCATTCTGTTCCCAAGTCACACCATTTTGTCTTGTGTGGGTGTCCCTTCTCCCGCCACTGCTGTCGATCTCATCTGTCTAGTGTCTGGTGTTGTGTGTCTGGCCAATCCCATAAGGCCAATGGGGAAATCCCTCCCTCACCAATGTGGTAAATAGGAAGTGACTGAAACAACCATCAGTCCCAAGAGGAATGGCAGTGATGGTAGAGGTAGAAGCCAGGCAGGTGAAGAAGACCTAGAAGTCTTATTTCATATCCCTTATGAGTCTTGTGTCACACAGGGCTCCCATGTCCCTGAGGCAGTACTGGTAATCCATATGTGGTTTGCGATGGTATTGAAATAAGCCTGACCAAAATGTGCATTTCATCAAGCAAAGGATGCACACGTTATAAATAAATGCTACATGTTGAGCAGTTCAGCTGTTTCACAACACAGCAGCCCTGAGAGTCAAAAGGTAACTTTTTAAAAAGTCTTTAATTGGGATCTTCCTGCTTATACTAAGCTAATGTTTTGGGACTGTAAAACTCTGAGAGAGCCCTGAGCTGATTCCTTTGAATCCCATTTTGTTTTTCTGTCTTTAACCCAACTGAAAGCATTCGGGACCAAAGCCTTAACTGGCTGAGGTAATGCAAACAAGAGCAGATTTCTTTGGCTCGAATTATTTCCATAAATGCGCCACTTTCCACCTGGAGTGAGTGTTGGGCCAGTAGTTATGCTGAAACTGCATTTCATATTTGTGAAAGAACAGCCTCCTTCTCACCAAAAGCTATGAGACAGAAGCCACAAATCAAAGATGCAAATCAGTATCCCCTACCTCATTTAATAAAATGCTTATTCTATGATAATTTTTTAAATATAGATATTAGAAAAATGAGGAAGTAACAACCAACACCTAACATGAAGAAAAAACCAAGCTTCAGAAATCTGTAAGAAGGATGTTTTCTTGAAAAAAACTTTACTTATCCTGTTGAATCATTCAATTTTCACATGTGACTTTGTGCAGAAAAAAAGTTCAGATTCCATTCTCAGTTCAAATCCATTGTTCTCCAGGTAATTGCCCCAGATCAGCGGGGTATTGCTCTCTGATGTACCAGCAGCAAGTAATTTCAGCTGACAGCATTCTGCCATCTCTTGTAGGTTTTTAAAAAAAGGTTCTTTGGCATCCAAAGAAGTTGAATACATCTGACAAATGTCTGAGACACTTGGATAAGGTTCAAAGTCTTCTGTTTCTCTCAGCAGAGAAAGTATATTAAAAGCAAGTGGATTCTATTCACTTTTTGAAAATTCCCTACATGCTAACATTTGCATACTGTATTGCTATTGGTTGCAATACCATTTCATAAGTTTGATTCTGTCCACTCTATGAAGCACTTTATAAAACCTATCAACAATTCTCACTTTACATGTTTATTAATTTTATACAACTGAAGTAAATAATAATACTTCAATAGTTCCACAGTCTTCCTTGTCCTTTCTTACCAATACCCTCTTAAGAAACAAAAAATAGCTTTAGAAAACAGGTGGCTATGGCATAGCGGCTCTTCTTTCCCCTATCCCCTCAACAGTGTTCTATTTATAAACATTGCTCCAGTCACCTGGATTATAGACACCAATTCATAGAGTAGTTACAGTTTCTCAGAATGAGCAATAGAGCACAGCAACCTCTGCTCTTAACTTTTATGTGCTGACGAGGGCTGGAATATAGCTCAATGGTAAAGCATTTTTAAGCATGTATAAGACGTGAGTTTGATCTTCATCACGAAATAAACAAAGTCCCTAGAAATTTGTAAGGTGCAAAAGGACACTGACAGTTCATGTGGCCCGGCTCTTATTCCTAGGCACACTCACATCTAGGTGAGTCTCAGCCAATGTGAGCCTAGGGTAACCTTTTCTCCAACCTTATTGGAGGTATGGGAGGAATGACACAAAGACTGAGGTTAGAGTCTAGATTCCAATCCTGGTTTTGTCACTGACTCCCTGAGTAACTTTGGCAAGTTTCTTTCTCCAGGTCTCACTTTCCTTATCCATGAGACACTGGACCAAAAGATTTTCTAAAGTTCTTTCAGATCTAAGTTTTCATGTACAGTTGATTAGTTCTGAAGATGGCCTCAACAACCCTTCCTACCTCCTATTTCCCACCTTTTTAATTTTTAAGGTATTTACCTAATTACTGTAAAATGGATGCACTTTCAGAAATGTGTACATCTCTGTATATACTACCACACTCAAAGTGTGGGATGTTGCTATTCACCACCCCCCAATTCCCCTCATGCCCTTTTGCTAGCAACCCCTGCTCTCCACCCTCAAACAACCAGCGATCTACTTTCTGTCACTATAGACTACTTTGCCTTTTCTAGAATTTCATATAAATAGAATCAAACATAATGTGCTCTTTTGTGTCTGGCTTCTTTCACTCAGCCTAACCACATCCCTTTTGCAATCTCCTTGTACCATTCTCCCATTAAGAGTAGGATCTTTTTCATAGCACCTTGAATCCAGGCTGACCCTCTCTGACTTGCTTAATTGACAGAATACAACAGAAGCAATGCTGCATCATCTTTTTCACTCCCTTGGAAGACAGATGCCATGTGAAAATGCTTCAGCTGGGCTACTGGATTACTCGAGACCAGGAGGATGGGGGCATCACATGAGGGAGAACCAAGACATCCCACCCAACAGCACCCAGGCCCAGACATGTAGATGAAGACATCTTAAATTTTCCAGGTAAAGCACTCCAGTCAAGAACACACGGAGCAATGTGATCATTATGTATACCTAAAATGTACCAATAAAATTAAAAATAAAAAAAGAGCACATAGAGCAGAAATAGTCATCCTCACTGATCCCCACCTAAACTCCTAACCCAAAGAATTGTCAGTGAACAAATACTCTTTGTTTAAGCCACTAAATTTTGGGGTGGCCTGTAACACTGTAAGATTTAACTTAAACCATGAGTTTTCTGCCCCATCTTCTTTTAAGGGCCAACAGAATTTCTTTCTACACTAGGACTATTAGCTACCTATTCAGATGTTTTATCTTAAACCTCTTCTACTTCTATTTCCTTCTCACATTGCTCTTCCCTTCAGTATCATAAATGGCATCTAATTTCTAACTGCATGATAACTCTGCTTCACTGGCTTGGAAATTGTAGTGTCTTTTTTACATTCCACTTTACAGGGTTAAAAATATCAAATCCTTTCCCGCTTCCCTTTAGATCCAGGGTTCTGGCATTTGAATTACAGTATGTTCTGAAGAAAAGGAATGCAGAGTTTGGAAGCCAAGGATCTTCAGTTCATACCTCATGAGCTATCTGGGCACATTTGAAAGCTTCCTACCTCTGATTCTGTCCATATAAAACAGAAACATTTCCTGGGATGGTAGAGAGAGAAAGCATAATAGGCAAAAACAGATGGAAAAGTGATACAAAAATAAAAGCACCTCATTTCTATAACCCTGGCAGGTCCTCTGTATTTGCATGCCCTCTGTGTGTGTCAAGTTCTCTGTCATAGGCTTAAACTTGCAAAATACATTTGCCTATCAATCTGGAAGACAAGAGAAGCACTATTTCTGTCTTAGGGCTTTTTGTTGAGAGAAGTGAAAGATTTGAGCATATGTGTATTGGGCGGGGGACACAGACAGAGAAATACAGATTTTGCTCTTCTCCGCATGGTATTTTATTGTAGGCTACTGTAAGATTCATGGTCAGGGGAAACCCGCATGAAGAAAGCATTAACATAGAGGGATGAAAGCTGAATAATTTATATAAAGAAATGCTTTGGAGGAGGTTTGCTATAGAGCTTACAACTTTTAGAAGCTACCCCTAACAGTGAAAGAACTATGGTAGTTTTATGTCTCTCCCCAAATACAATTTGAAATTTTAAAAAACTCACACTTTGGAGGACATCAGGTTAAGTGAAGCCAGGCACATGAAGCAAATACTGCATGTTCTTAATTATTTATAGAAACTAAAAACTTGATCTCATAGAAGAGAGTGGGATAGTGATTACCAGAGACTAGGAAAGGGATGGAGAAGGAACGATGAAGGAAGGTTAGATCAAGGGACCAAAACACAGTCACATAGGAGAAATTAGTTCTGGTGTTTAATAGTCTAGTAGGATACAAAAATCTATGATATATTTCAAATAACTAGAAGAGTATGAAAGTTGTCAACACTTAGAAATGATTGAGGGGCTGGGGATTTAGCTCAGCGGCAAAGCGCCTGCCTGGCAAGCGCAAGGTTGTAAGTTCGGTTCCTGGTACCGGAGAAAAACCAAAAAAAACCAAAAAAAAACAAAAAACAGAAATGATTGAGGATATGGAAATAGTACTATGATTTTATCATTAAACACTATATATGTATCAAATTATTGTACAGTACTCCATACCTATGTACAAATATGTGTCAAAAATAAGCTTAAAAAAATAAACCTAAAGATAAAGAAGCCCAAGTTTTTGATTTGCACCATTATTTTAAAGCTTTGTTTCAAAAGCCAAATCTTTTCAATTTTTTTCTCATTTTTTCCTTGATGTCCCTGTTTTTGTTGTCTTAGAATAGTAGCTCACAAAGTATGTCCCCTAAACAGGGAGCAAGAGCTTCACCTGTTAACATGTTAGAAATGCTAATTCTGAGGCCTACCCCCAAATTTACTGAATATGAGACTCAAGGGTCAGCCCCTAGCAATCTGTTTTAACAAGTCCTTCAGGTTTGAGAACCACTGTTTTAAACAGATAATCTGGGCCGCTCATTATCTTGTTTCTCAAACTAGCCGCTGTTCATTAGAAGCTCCTGAGAAGCTTTATAGAAATACCAATACTGGGACTCTGACATCACAGATTTTGACTGGTCAGGGTACACCAGGAAACCAGCATTTCTAAAAAGCCTCCTGAGTGATGTGCGCAATAAGTGGATAACCTGATCTCTAGGCTTGAGTAATTGAAGGGAGGAGATCAGGAGAAGGCCAGCTTGCTTAGAAGGAGGAATAATTCAAAAGTATGTTTAAGCAAGTTTAAAATAAAACACATTTAAATGTGAAGTGGAAAAGGGAAAGAATTATAAACCACAGCCTTAGGATTATTTGGGAGCAGTAAGCATTCTAAACTGAAGGTAAGGGGAAAATTTTTAAAAAGTTGATAGAAGTGTCAAAGATAGTACAGCTGAGATAAATCAGGATTGAAAATTCTTCCCGGGACTGTGTTGTACGAGAGTCCTGTCACACATTTATAGTCTGAGCATCTAAACTAATATCACTTACTTCTTAAAATAATCCTAGAGGGAGAGATCTCCATTCTTTAAAAAATATTTAATTTTGCAGTTCTCCACAGTGCTTTGTGGTATGCAACTGTAAGACTGGTTAGGGTCAAAGTGTGGAATCTGATTGGATAGTAATTATCTTCACTTACACAACAGCCAAATGAAGGAAACAAGGATGATCATTTTTAGACTTTATAAAATACATGCAAAAAACAAAATGTGAGAAATTCTTTCTGCTAAAGTTAGCTTTTATAAAGGATCTGATTTTTATACTTTATTTCATCATAATTTTATTATGTTCACATTTTGGAAAAGTTGAACAAAAAACAGTACCAAGTTTTGAAAGATATGGTGAAGGAAGAGGCGCAAGTAGAAAAAAAGAAGACAGCAGCAAATGGATGATAAAAATGACAAAAAATGTAGTGAGAAGGTAAAAGGGTCTGAGAGGGGAATAATATAAAAGAATTTTTGTTTGTTTAATGCTATATCTATAGCATCTAGAACAATGAAGACACATAAGTCAATAAATATATACTTACTGTACTTTCTGAACAAATGACCTCCAAAGATAGGTCCAGCTTTGTATGTTAAGATGCTATTATGACTGGATGATTGACACACTACTATGTGATATCTTAAACTTGTTTTTTTATGAAGAGCTTTCCAACTATACAGTACTACGACACGTATTGTAAACTTTCCTAGCCAGGGTGTGGCCTTTTCCAAACCACAATTTCCAAAACATGGAAACTGAAACAGGAGTAATTCCTCAGAGGAGCTGGAAATTTTGATACTCTTCACCCCCAAATATAGTAGTACTCCATTTCACTTCTCTCAGAACTAAGTCACCCCTTACGAATCATCCTGTGGGGCGACTTTGGAAAGAGGGTTCAAATCTTAAAAAGAATTGTCAGCCAATTTCATCCAACACACATTTCCCAAACATGTTTCCAAGTATGTGTACAACACCTTCCTGTAGGTATTCTGAAAGTCCCACAGCTCCATGTCTTGCTTTCCAGCAGCAACCACATTCCCACATTTTGGAGGTGAGAGGCATCTGAGGGTCTATGAAAAAGTTAAGAACACAGATTTTGGGTAGTGTAGCGGATTAACTAATGGTCAACTTGTAACACCCAGGTGAATTGAATCAGTGTGATGCTGGATGTAGAGGGCCCACCTGAGGATTGTTGCCAACAGCATAAAAGCAGAACTGGAGAGGGAAGATGGCATGCTGTTGATTCTTCTGAAGAAGCTCATTGGATTGGTTTTCCTGACACGAACTCAGCTGTTATCACCATCGGAGCTTGGGTTGTTGCTGAGGTTGCTGTAGTTCTTTTCAGGGGAGCTCTGGTCCTAACTTTGAACATCAATTCCTGGCTCTAGTCCAGATTCCTCAGCCTGCTGGCACAGATCCTTCATCCTACTGGTGCAGATTTTCTAGCTTCCACCACTGATTGGGCTTTCCCAGTGCAGATCCTTGATACAGACTTGCATGAGACACTGTTGTGGGCACTAAGCTTCCAGCTGGACTCACGGTGGACATTGCCATGGGCTCTAGGTCTTCAGCTGGACTCGTGCAGGACACTGCCCTGGGATCCAGGCTCTCAGCTGGATTCTTTGGGCCTCTAGTGTATGGACAGATTTCTGGCACTTTTCTGCGTTTGACTTTTTGGATGAATATGAATGATGTGTCCTGTAGTAAATCTATCCCCGCTGTAAACCCCAACTACAACAAGTAGGTTCATCTCATCTCAGAGAATCAATCCCTAAATGAAGTGGAAAGCAACCTAAAAGGGCTCTATTCTTTCATTCTTTGGAAAATGGAATAGCGAGAATGACTACCTCTTAACTGTTCCTTAATAGATTACTGCTCCAAAATTAAATGAGCAGGTTTGAAGAGATTAATTTTCCTAGTGTCTTGTGACTTTGCACTCATCATACAATGCCTTAATGTGCTCTGGTTGGGTTTTACTTGCTGAGTCAACAAAATACTTAACAATGCCAGGTACTAAGCAAGCTCCAGGAACAACAGTGACCAATTCTCTGCAAGAAGCCAAGAGACAAATATGTAAAATATGTAATTCATCAAGTGGTTATGAATGCCATTATGGGGGATAAAAGGATTATGACAGATAGCAACTAGAAGCTCTAACCCATGTCAGTGTTATGTAAAAAAACCCAAAAACCTGTTTTCTTCTTGCCATTACAGGTTGTGTGCACAGATCCCTTCCCTGATTTCCCTGATGACTCAAAGCCCCTTTTCTAGACTCAGTTTCCTGTCCAAGCCACTATTTCCTGAATAGCCACTTTACCGGCTATTCATACAAGTCACAGTACTATGGGACGTCGGGCACCCCAACCACGCAGCCCCAGCCGCCCTGGCTTGTCCTCAGGCTGTTTGTCTGGGGTTGCGCCCCAGCCAAACTCAAAGAGAACTTGGTCCCACACCAAATTTTAGAGAAGGACTATGAAACCGAAGGCAGAAAACACCAAAGGGGACGTGAAGGAGATGGCTCTCCACTACTGCCAACTGAGGCTCAAACCTTGACGCGAACTACGGACCAAAACTCAAAACGGAAACCGGAGCGGGCGTCCGCTTCTCCGAGCGCCGTGGGAGCCGGCTCTCCGCGCTCCCGCGGGCCCCGCCGCCGCCGCCGGTCCCTCAGGGAGGACAGCCGCGCTCCGCTGGGCTCCGCGGGGCAGACCGCGGCCGCAGCCGGCGCCTCGGCGCCTTTGTCTCTCGCGCGCCCTGGCCTCGAGGGCTCCAGACGCCATCGCGATGAGGAGGCGCGCGGCGGCAACCGACCACGCCGCCCTCGTCTCGCTCGCTCGCTTCCC